ATGCATAGTCGATCTGCATGCCGCTCAATGGAGCACCCTTTCTTTCTTGCTCCCGCCGCTTCTCCTCATTCTGGGCGTGACCAATGCCAATGTCAGGGTTCCGCGGGCGCCAGGCCCCGCCACGCCGCTGCAGCTCACCTTGACATTTACTGCCACAATCCGAAAACAATAATTCCCACTGTTGCGGCCGGAACGGCCGGGACGCGGCTCGCCGCCCGCAACATTTAAAAAAAGTAATAATGATACTGCTTTCGTGTCGTCACGCCTTTCTCGTCGCGTTTCGCGCGCGCGCACACACACACATTCACACTTACTCACTCACATACACACACACAGCGACGTGGCTCGGCGTAGTGGTAATCTGCGCAGACACAAGCCAGGAGAGCTGAACGGACGTCTTATTATTGTTATCGCTGTTATTATGACTATTGCCTTAGGCCTCGGGCCGTAACATTAAACTCCTCACGCGCGGGATGCCCCTCCCGCCCGCCCGAGCCGGCCAGGTTGGATGGATGGATGGAAGGCAAGCAGCTCACCATCCTCTTCTTCTACACTTGCCACTCGTCTTGACTTTTTCTTGCTTTCACCGCACAAGTCTTCTCCTCGTCGCTCATATAACGTCAGCAAATGCACCATTTATTTTTATTTATTTCTCTGCCTTGCTCCAGCACGAAGGGTCGGGCATGGTAATGGCTGGGGACAGACACAATGAGCTCGGGGAGAGGTCAGGGTGCGCGGGCCCATGAAGGATGGTTGAGGCAGGTCGGGAGGCTGGGCCCTGACGTGCTGGGGGCGTCACTCGTAGTGGACGGTGGGGAGGAACTCAACTACATCCCTTCGATCATCTGCTCGACTCACTGCCACTCTCTGCTGTCGCTTTTCAACCAAAACCCCATTCAAAATCATCGTGAAATTATTGCTAATAATAATTTTGGACTTTTCTCGGACAAGGTACTTGGTTAGCATCCCCTTACAGGCCCTGCCGGTACTCCGCTAGTCCTCTTCCCGTCACTACTTGGTAGCGAGTGAAGGTGAGTACCCCTCGAGGCAGTACTCAGTACTCCCGGTGGTGCCCCGGGGCGGGTGTCCCAGCAGCTCCTCTTCCCTGTCGCTCGTCAACAAGTAAGGAACTAGGTGAGTACCCCTCGAGGGAGTACCCCCCGATGCCCCTGGCGGGTGCCCTGCTCCTCTTCCTGTCACTCGTTAACAGCAGGGCCTCCATTTCTCCGTACGATGGGAGTGGCCGAGGTACAATTCACACGGGGGCGCTGCCTCTGCTCCGCCGTGCTCCGCCGCAGTGCTCCGCGCCGGCCGGCCGCCGCCCCACGGCCCCGCTCCATGTGACGTGGCGTGGCGCTCGGCGTGGCGCGTGATGTGCCATGATTCACCGCGCGCCGCGCAGCGAGCCGCTCGTCTAGTGCCGTCTCGTCTAGTCCGGGCCGGAGCGGCGCGGAGCGGTCCTGGCCTCCCGCCTGGCTGGTGGGACTGGAGACCTGGTGGTGGACCCGCCTAGCCGAGTAGTGAAAGTGCCGGCGTGCCGTGCCGTGCCGCGCCCCGCCACATCCCCGTGCCTTTAGCCGCGCGCCGTGGCCGTGCCGCACCAGCCCGCCGACG